AGCTGCGTTCCCTAGACGGGAGGAAACCGTAATTAGAGGTGTGATGCGTTCTCCATCACTATGAGTGTTAACATCAGAACACATTCAAACGCAAAGAAATGAACTAATTCATTAGCCTAATTAATTAATGCTATTTAGAAGGCCAAATTATGTTAACAAACCAAATGCTTGTAGTTTTAGTATCTATAAATCAGGGGGAAGAAAGATATATATCAAAAGATTCACTACTAGCAAGAGATGGAAGAGTTCCAGATATTCTTTTGACACCAATTTATTTGGAAAATATTTTTTCATTAATTCTATTTGCATTGATCTTACAAAACCTGATTTTATTCCAACTATAACTAAAGAGTCCTAAAAAACAAAAAAAGCTTAAATATGATCACAGGTGATATTTGCAAATATTTCCTGTATAAAAAATGAATTTATAACATACTATTTCTCTGAGTTTGCAAAACAGCTTAGCTTATCAGCTGTGGGTTGTTAATACAAATGGAGACAATACAGAATTTAAATTGTAAGTAAATGCATTATAAAATACTTAATATAATATTTTGTATGCATCCCTGCCCTACTTATACTTACACTGATCTCCCAAGTGCTACACCTCCCCAGGCAACGAATTGTTTATTGGAGAGAATGGGCGGGATGTCTGTGCACCGAGCAGCAGCAAACACAGGTCTGCTTTCCACACTCCCCACCTCGCCTTTCAGCACCACTTCATACTGAGGCCCAGATGGCAGCACGAGGATTTTCAATGAGCTTAAAAACAGACAGAGACCCCACCATAAAATAAGATTAGCAGATAAATACATAATCACTGCAGGAAGGAATACTAGGCCCACAGACAAGCAATCAGCTACCTCAGGGTCATCAAACCTACAGGACCAAGCAACAGCAAAAAGAAATCGGATGAATAAGAACATCAGGAGTGCAGATGCAAATAAAAAAACTGGATTTGCCCAAAGTTGCAGGGAACAGAAGGAAAAAAGCCATAGGACAGGGAAAAGGCTCATAAGAAACAGGCCAAACTACATATTATGCTAGAAGCCCACTTGAAACCAGAAATGAAACTCAAGAAGCTCCAGTCTAGCTGTGAGTGAATTTCTGTGAAGCCTACTGACAGAGTCCTGTATGCTCTCAGGAGGCAATATTAACATTTATTATTGCGTGTGCAGGGGGGTTGGGACTAGATGATCTCTAGAGGTCCCTTCCAACCCTAAGCATTGTATGATTCTGATTCTATAGCTACTTCATTAGTCATTTGGCAAGTACTTGCAAGTGGACTGCAAAGATTCCAACTCTACTGAGTACCTTTCACTTGTAAAGCAAACAAGTTAGGCAAAAGGCCACATGATATGGAAGATGCCTACCCCGTAGAATCATACTCTCATTAGCACAGAACTTAACATATTTAATATCATTCACAAGGCCCCAGTAAGATGCATATTAGAGTTGAGCATATTTTGGCCAGATTCCTCTTATCTATTCCTACTTCATTAAAGCAGAATTCACAAGACGGGTAATGAAAAACTGCTCTGGAGAACTGGAATCTGACTTGGACATTGCCAGTCACTCAAACCAAAAAAGTCCATTTGGGAGAGAACAAGGAAATTCATAGGTAATAACATACAAACGCTTATGGCTGCAAATAGAACATGCACATTAGGGTTATGCAGGACCTTGGCCTGAACATCCATTCAATTCTCGCAGCCAAAGAGTCTTGACCTTCAAGAATCCGTGCTTGCGTTTACCAGTTGTAAAACAGAAAAAATATATCCCTCACTATAGTAGGGCAAAGAAGAGGGAAGCAAGTGAAGAGGCTGCTGAAGATAAGTATTTTAAAGGATCTTGGTACTTAGAGGTAAGTATCTTATAAGGGGGACCTGAGAATTGCTCCATTTATTTAAACTAGTCACAAGGAACCTGTTGACCTTTGATGGAAAAAATGAGCTACTCATATAGCATAGATTCTTCTGTCGATAAAGTTTCCCACTTCTTTATGACCTTCAGGTTGAAAAATAACTCTGTTTAAAATGAACAATTATGAACAGTTATGTCACCTTTCTGCAGTGCTTAAGCTTTTTGGAGAAAACAAGACAGCTACTTCTTGTTCTTCTTCAGGACGAAGGAAGAGATCCTCAGGTTCAACAGAAAAGCAGCTGTCCTGATTTGATATCTGAAGAGAAAAGAAAGGGAAGTAGGAGAGAAAGAGAGGGTCTGTTACTTCTTTTAGGAGAGTAAACACATCTGCAAAAACCAAAACTATTCAACTTGCACATACACAGCCAGTTTAAATACACATGGTATCACCAGATCTTTAACATATTCCTGTGCAAACTAAAAGTCTTCCAGTGTTGAATAGAATAGCAGAGAAGCCTAAGAGAAATATCTTAAGAAATCAACTGTATATATAATGCTGAAAGAACCTCACAGAGATTCTGAAAATTGAATATTACAAGACAGTGGCAGCCAGTAGCAGTGTAACATCACTAGTCTCAACATGCAGTACAGGTCAATACTAACTATTCCCCAACATCATCACATTATTAGTGCCCAGTATCATCACTTTAGTCTTGCATCCTACTTCCATGGCCTCTGCCTTAAGAAATGCAAAAAGAAAACCTTGAGATAGGCCCACTTCCTTGTCATTCCTACTCGATCACTGATGATCAGGAATCACAAGCAACAAGGCTTAACAAGGATCCTTAACAAGGATCATTAGGCACAATGCTCTGAAGCAAAATGAAAACACTAAGGCTTGGGCTAAGCAGGCCTCAGGTTGGAAGCAAACCTCAGAGTATCCGTATTTCCAGCCTCTCATATCTCAGTACCACAATAACAGCAGGTTAAAAAAAGAGAGAGAAAAAAAAAAAAAGAAAAATACTGATATCACAAGAGAAGCAAATAGTACAGCTCTGTACTAAGAAAATTTGGCAGAGGACTATTTTTTTTTTAATCTGACTCAGAATTTTTCTATTCTCCATCTAGATTTCTCTGATCAAGAGGATTTCTCTGATCGAGAGGATTTCATACAAAGGCAGCCAAGCATGGCCTTTGTGTAAAAGACATTTCCAAGCTAGAAGCTAGCATTTCTTAACGGATTCTTAGTGCGAGAAGAAAAGATTTTTGCAAGAGACACATTACTAGCTTGTACACTTGCAACATGAAAAAATAAATCTTCATTACTCTGTCTAACGGTCTTGCAACTTGAGGCTAACTTACAAAATATAATCACACCTTAAGCACCTCTCAGTGAATTATATCTAAGCTCAGAATTTCAATAACAGGAAGAGTAAGTACAGAGCACCATGAAATCAACTCACTGTAAGGATTGAGAAAAAAAGAAGTTACTATCACCTGATACTACAGAATTTAAGCATATTGCTATATTGCTATATTTCCTATAGCAATTATCAAAGTCTTCAGGGACAGTTAAAATCATGTTCTTCAAATACATCCAGAAGCTAATTGTCAGAGGCTGTTATTTTCTGCAGAACTTCTTCGATGATTCTGCAGTACCTCAAAACAGTCACAAAAATATTTCTGCAATGTCATTACGACCTGAACAATCACCAATTCCACATGCTTTAGCTCTGATCCTCTGTTCATGTAACGTCTCAAGTGACAGCCTCACAGTCCTCAACATTTCTTTTTTCCTCAAGACACTGATTTACTATTTTGAAGTCAACACAAGGATAGTTTGAAATAAGTCTAGATATCTTCTATGGGTTTTCAAGAAAATTAGAGTAAGTTAAAGATAATACATATACCCTAAAAGCACCAAGCATCATACATGACTTGGCAATATGTCCAGCAAAAATTAATGCAGCTTTACAAGAAGTTCAAAATATTTCCTCATGCCATTATAACTCTGCTCTAAATAGGCATTATTCCTCAGGCTAACAACCAACTGCATAGCACTGGGCTTGCTGCTTTCACCAAACAAAACAGAACACATCATGAGGTTTTTTTTTGTTGTTGTTGTTGTTTTTTTTTTTTTTGTTTTGTTTTTCCCTCAGTTGTGTGAACTGCTCTCTTGGATATCTTTCCTCTTCTTTACAGAAATTTGTTAATCCCTCTGCCAAACCATGCACAGTTAAGCTAGCACCCCAAGGGTGAGCTTGTATTTTTATATAATGTTTTTAGTAGAAAATTCATGATTTCAAGAAGCCAACCTACCTTAACTTTTAAATATACACCAATGTTTCCAGCATTTTTCAATGGCAGCTGCTGCTTAGATGATGAACCCACACTAGCAGACAGAGATATTGTCTGGAAAAAAAAATGTGTGTATGTATATACATGTATATATGCATATATATACGCTCATATACACACAGACAAGCAAACAAAATACAAAAAGAAACAGGCTATAAGAGGCAGAGTATTCTTAAAACACACTGTCCTCCAATTCACTCAAACCTGTAAATCCTTTGGAGCATGTATCCTCGCCGTGCCAGCTCTTGCTCGAAGAGGAATACTTTTAATCACACTGCTAGGCCCTGGGCTATCAACCTCCACATCAACTCTTGCCAAGAATTCATCTGCTGGACCTAAGGAATCTAAAAGCAATTCCACATATGACAAATCCAAGCAAGTCTGTCAGCAGCAAAAGCCATCCCTATAGATTTGCATCTCACTTCACTACTTCCCAATCGATCCCTCAGCAGAGATCAGCAGCGGCTCTCCCCTATCCAGTCAACAGGTTTTGCAAGTCTCAATATTTTTTACCTTTCTGCCAAAGATGGCCAAAATCATCCCCAAAACACCCAAACCAAAAAACATTCTAGCCAAGGACAAGATTATTACTACTACTCCCCTTAGGAAACCAGAAATTCTCAGAGACTCCTTCAGATCCTTCATCTATACTACAACCAACTCAACATTCAGGGTTGTTTTCTTGAAATGATTATGTAATTTCCTTGGCAACAGGAGGAAAGAAAATTCCACAAATCTTAAAAATAAGTACTTCATATATTTTGATATTGAAGTGCAAGTACCTCATTAACTTCTAAAAGATTGAGGCTAGTACATAGTACAAAAATACAACAAATTAGTAACAAAAAAGGATTTCCTCAATTTCCTCTTCCTTCATTTAAGAAAACTGTACATGACAGCTGAAATATTAGAACACACAAGGTTGAAATATTTTTTGTTGTAAGTTTGTAGCTTGTTCCTGAAATTCCAAAGCATGCATACATTAAATAATAAAAACATATAACGAAAAAATCAAATTGACATACCTGAAGAAGAAATCTGTTTCTTAGGTGCGTGGAACAGGACCCAAACTGTTAAAGCTTCAGGATCCTGGAGGAGAAAGAGATAAATAAATAAATAAATAAATAAAGTGGACTTATCTTAAGGGGTGAAGGAATTAATAAAAAGACAGACATACAACATCACTTACAGCAATAAGAAGGAAAAAAAAAAAAAAAAAAAAAAAAAAAACACACACACACTACTCAAATCGGTAGCTCTCCAGCAGCTATTGCTACAAATTCAGATATCCGGAACTGTCATTGCGAACAGTCATTGCAAACAGAACGATAAGCACCAGTGACCTACAAACTACTCACTTGTCCATCATAGCTTGCATGTATCACATGGTTTACAACCGAGGGAGCTGCTATGGGAGTAATTGCATCCATTGGGAACGAGTGCTCATTAGAAGGATTGACCGGTTCCTTGGAAAACGTGAAGCAACGCCAAGCGACTGCGTTCTGTCAAGGAGATACAGCTTTAACAACATGAAGTCCCCTACTGTCATTAACAATAAAATACTGACATAGCTGGGCAATGCAAAAAAGCTCTGGATGGTCCAACTGTGAGAAGCCAATCAAAGATTTGCCCATAGTTAGCAAGCCCCAGGCAAGATCCAGCTGTCCATAAAATATTTGTACAGCTTCCATTATAACTGTGAGGTGCACCCCCCATCTCTCCCAGTTTATTTTTCCGTACTAACTCTAGATTTATTGGGAGTTTGGCATGTAACCACAAAGTTTCTTTGCATTAAAATTAAATATTGTAAGAAGTTAACTTGTGCATATGGGAAGTTTGCTGTACTTACTGCATTGATAATAAGCCGAATTGGCACAAAAGCATGGGTTTTGTTGATAAGTTTTAGCGGAAGAGCCTTCCAACTGCCAGAAGGCAAGTCACCAAAGTCCAAGTATTCTGTTTTGCCTTTTTCCACCTTAAAAAAAAAAAAAATATATATATATAGAAAGGAAGGAAAGCTTTCAGGATACACTACCACAAGGAGGCAATGAGAGATTAAAGATACTATTCATTTACTCAGTCCTGTAATACTATACCCACATACCCACACTTCTACAACCCCAGCTGAAGGAGAAGAAAAGTTTCCCTTAATCCCAAATCAGTTAAAACAAAAGCAGTGCAATATTTACCCATCAAAACACAGCACATAGACAAATTATTTTGGGTAAAATTAAAAAAAAAAAAAAAAAGAAAAGAAAAAGAAATGAAAGCAAAAAGCCATAATTATTATTAGCGTAAGGAAATATCAATTGCAACACCTTTTATTTAAACTTTAGGGATATAGCTAAAGAGGAGTTAATTTTTGATTTGAATACTTGAGAACTGTGATCTGCAGCTAGATACAGCTTTTGTTTCTTTTCACAGCTTAGAATAAAATATTCAGAAATATAGCACAGAACGAATCAATACGATAAATACGAATCACATTTGAATGAACTGCACCATAAAGAAGATGCAGAAAACGATGGAATTCTCCAAACTGATGAAAAATGCATTGAATATTAAGTTTAATAAAGCATAAAAACAGTATATTCATTCATGCACGTTAGACTGGAATACCTTTAAAATTACTTCAAATTTTGTATTTTACCAAAAAAAACTTAACAAATTGATTTAAAAAGAAAAAGTATATTTATGGTTAGTACACTGAGAATTTGTCAAAGTCTCAGACTGTAACATGGTCTTGAGTCTTATTTGGAAAGTATCACCATGTATACTTTTGCTTCATAATAACTCTAAATTCAGGACTATACATTTCCAAATATAATTCTTAAAGTTAAGCAAATGGGAGAAGATGTGGTATTAACAGAAGATGAAGTAAGTATTTTACACATCCTTTAGTTTTAATTTTGAACTAATCTGAAGTACGAAAATACTTTTAATTTATTTAGGGTTCGAAGAGTAAGAACCAACTGAGAGAGAAGCTACTTCACTTAAAATAAAATAAAAATAGAAAACCCTACAACTGGAAATGAATGCTATTATTAATTGCTGTGTTTTGATGCCTGATGTTAGCAAATCAAAATATAACATTGCTGATAATGAATCCTGGGGAAGAATCAGATGTTAGAGCTCTCATCCTATCATCTCATGTAATTTTTCTAATAATGAAAAAGTAGAATCTTGTAAGACATTTGCATAAGAATCCTTCATGCACAGCAAGGTGTCCCTCCACAAATAAATCTTCTTAAAAGATTAAAACTACTTCATTCCTCATACCTAGGTCCTTTGACAAACAATCTTGTATCCTGATTTATTTTCTATATTTTTAAGCTGTTCATAAAATTTCAACAAGAAAAAAAAAAAACATGATTATCTACTTACTTCTATATTAGGATGTTCAGCAACCGCGGTCAGAACTACTCTACTCGCCAAAGCTTCTGCCTGAACTATTGTCTCAGCATCTGCTGAAACCTGCCAAGATGAAACACTGAGAATACACTGAAAGATCCCTGAATGACATGGCAAGAAAAGTATTTTCAGGTCATCAGTAGAATGTGGTCCTACAATGGTCTTGTTCTTGAACACAAGACACTGGTACTTCACAGGATCCATCTGAAAAGCAAACAAGACAGAAAACACCCTGTCAAGTTCTCAGGCACAAGAACTATAGCATGGCTTCTTCCAAACACCTACAAAACATAGTATGTAGTAACCACTGCTCAACAAGTAGATTTTTATACGTACTTTTGCAGTATTAGTTTCTCCATATCTATGTTCCATTTCTGTATCATTTCAAGTACCTTTTCAAGCTAAGATATTCTAATATTGATAAAGGTCGCTCAACAGTAACAACAAATAATTTGACTTGGTGCTTCCTAACAAAAATGGGGAGCAGGAGGAGGAAAAGCAAGGGAAAGGTCACCAGTAAATCCTAGTGCAGATGCCTTTACACTTCTTGAACACATTTATAAACAGTCTGCTTTTTTTCTGCAAGTGATACTATAAGCTATTCAGAGGAGTAAAAATACATCTCAGGTTTGAAGAGCTACACAAGAGACTCATGCCACCAAGCAATTAAGAAAATAAAGAGAAATCTTAACTCATGTGTACATAACACCACTATGGATTTACTTTTCTTCTCTCCTAATAAGGAATTATTCAGAGTAACTGAGAAGAAAACCAGAAGTCATGTTCCTGGAAGGACACATGGTGCATCTGCATGAGATGATATACAATGTAGAGGGGACTCCCTAATTTTACAGTTTGACTTCTGATAAGGTCATAGCATTAGGCTCACAATTTTAATAAAGTCTTACCTTTTCCCCATTGACTGAAATACTGATTATGCCAATGCTGACCTGCAACCACCGCTCAGTTGGATTAAAAATGCTGAGCGTTGTCTGGGAGGCAATTCCCACACAGCAAGCATTAGGGAACTTCAGCTCTTCGGGGACTTTCACATGACCTTGGCAAGAAAACAGGCTCCCATTAGTTGCAAGCACCCAAAAGCAAGATGTTAATCACATCCTACTCAGTCTGTCATTAGGTATGTTACGTTTTGTAACCTCATCTGACAAATGCACCCTTAAACCAAGGATGATAAACTTCTGACTTCTACAGCTTTTATAAGAATATTTTCTCCTGTCTGATATTTAGCATTTGAATAACTTGTTTGTAATTTGCATCTTACTTGCATTTATACTGCTACCAACAAAAATATTTATGGAAATAGCACATTCCATGCAATCACTAGCCTACAAAGTTTTAACTACTGAGTGATCAAGACTTGATCAACACTAGCCCACAACACAAAATGCAGTTATCTATATTTAGTACATTTACAATTTTATTAAATGCTGGAACATAACCATTACCTACGAGGTGCTTAAGAATTCTTCTGCTACAGAAAACATCAAGCATTCACTTAGAGCAGATTTTTCAAGAGAAATGGTCCAACCAAAAGCTACCAACAGCATATCAAAGCAAAATCTGACTTTTGAGTATTTTAGAAATAAACTTTCTCGAAGTAAAATATTCAAATGGTTCTGAGCAACTGTATAGCCACAATTCAAAACAAAACTGGCAGCAAGAGATTTTTCTGGCTCACAAAGAACAACCTTCATTTTTCATCCTTAAACCTAGTCACAGACACTCATGACAAAGGAACGCTCGGCTTCTTAATTAGAAGGACATATGCACATAACTACAAGTAGTAAAGCTTTAGATACTTAAAACAGCACATTTTCTTTTAAAGCCACACATTCTTAAACCCCTCCAAAACAGAAAATTTTACATAACTATCAGGATAAAAACATGGAGCAAGACAAGCATCGCTGGACACTAATTTCAGGGTCAAAGAATCATATTTGCCAGAAAACAAGTGCAAGCTGAACAGATACTCAGAGAAGTTCAAAAACTTGTACAAGAACCTATCAATTACATGCATTAAAAAATATGTAAAGAGCAGACTGGTCCAGATTTTGTTATTTCAAAATGCATTACTAAGATCAATGACCTTGCTCAATACAGAGCTGCAGCCAGAGATTCTCTTCCTCTTGATTATCAAAGAATGTGCCAGACCTTTTAAACAATGACAAAGAACAGAAAAAAATCTGAAATTTAGCCTTTTTGACATACCTTTTGAGACTGTTAGGAGACTACTGAATTCAGAAAAGGTTAAACATGGATAATTAGGAATGCCCTTTTTAAAAATAATGTTAAGCTTTCATAAAGAATACTTGTAGTTATATTTCAGTAATCAATTTTTATTTATTGTAATCTCACCATTCTCATTTTAGCTACTTTTGCCCACAGCTATATTTTATACATGCACATTAAAAACAAAATAAAAAGGTCTTACCAAAACCAGGCAACGCTGACGACTCCCACTCATTTCTACCGAGGCCCAAAGGCTGTCCAGTGTATGCTTTTATATTTAAGATATTCTTGTTCCAAGCAGAATGTGGATTACAAAGCGAAGCTGCACCCAAAGATCCAGGACCAATATTCGCACCTAAAGGAATTCCTGCAGTAACTGGATTTTGAGCATGTCCTGCTGGGAGACCACTGCCAGGAAGTCCTCCTGGGAGACCAAAACCTGCCAAGGTGCCAGCACGAAACCGAGACAAAGCTGCACCTGCAGTAGCTGGGATACTTCCCAGATGCTGCTGAGCAAATGGAGTCGTTGCAAGCGAACATCCTGTAAGCAACGTGGGAACAGATGAACTTGTTTGACTCTCAGAAGCAGTGACGTGGGATTTAAAGCTTGAAATAGGAACATACTGTTCCTCAGATGAGTTCGGATTTAACGGAATATAACTGCTTAATCCAGGATATATGGGTAGTACATTGAATGATGGCAATCCCGGTCTCTGTACTTTGCTTGTATGATCCTGCCACGCTTCTGGTTTATCAGCATTATCAGATAGTGTGGGAAAGGTGCATGATTTACTTGCTAAAGCTGGTTTAACATAGTCCAACTCTCTATGATTTGATGTTACCTTTGAAGGACTGGATGCAACCTGATTTTCATTTGCTGGGAAATCATTCTTGGACAGTTTTTCACTTTCAAGCTTACTTTTAAGACTTACAAATTCTTTTCCCTCTGATTTGTCATCAATATTAAAGAGTGTTTCTTTTCTCTTTCTTTGAAAAGAGTAGTCGTTTAGATTTTCATTTAGATGCTCCAGCGAAGGAGTTGGGCTGGCTTTTATTATTGTTGTGCTCAGTTCACTGGCACTTTCACCCTAAGTAAACAAATATAATATACTAATCATAAATTCTAGAAAAACAAATAGGGTACATAAAGCAAGACAGACTAACACTGACACTCAATATAAATGATAAAGTTTGTCAAGTCTGGTCTGGAGCTCTGCTTTGTAAAATCTGTCTGTCTTCAACTCAAAAAAGAGCTGTTAACTCCAAGCTGCTTGTTATTTAAAGTGACACTCTAGTCAATAATTAATACCTGCTCTGCTTCTGAAATTGTCAAGAGCTAAAACAGCTTCCACAGAGTCAAGAGTATTTGACTTTCTGTGATTTTATGAAGCCATTCTGTGCGAAAGTAACCATACTCTGAAGGGGAACAGCTTTCTAGACTCACCGGACTCACTGACAGATTCTTAGACACTATTACAAATATAATTTTCTTATTTGTTGTTTTTGGGTCCAATACCACGAGAATTTTCATATCTACATATGCATGAACAAGCCCTATTAGGAGCACCCAGGAGAAACATAAATTACGTTTCTCCTTCTTCTTTATGACTTTGTTTCAACAACACAAAGGTGTTTCCTCAGATTCAAGTTGCTGTGACAAGAAATGAGAATCCCTGAGTGTTAGGGCCCACCAACAAAAAGTGGATCTGGTAGCAAGGCAAGTCAGAGTCCGGCAAGGTTCTTAGTAAAAGCTGAGGAACCAAAGCAACAAACAGAAGTAGTAAATAAATCCAGGGGAAAAAAGTACCAGTCATGGATATGCATACGGACATGTGAAAGAATTTCCTGTCAAGTTAGCTGTCCAGAACAGAAGTGATCACCCTTCTCCTACCCTGTGCATAACCAGTAACATATTAATGGTGCTTGTCAGTACAGACTACCTGGAGGGAGAACGACAAGAGGGGCGCCACCCTTTCCTAATCAGCATCACACTGCTCAGACTATACAAGACAGTGCACGAACTCTAGGTAGCTCCTCTGCAGATTCATAAATGAAAATATTCTTTAGATATGCTACAGAGGTTCATTTTCTATTGCAAACCATATCCAGATCCCCCATGCCCTTTTAGCAGTTGCAAAACCAGCATTCTGATATTAGAAGAACCAGGCCCCAGCTTAGAACAGCTGTACCTGGAGATCTCTGACACAGGCGCAAAAAAGGCACTGAGCGTTTGCAGTACAAAGCAGGACTTGGATGGCCAGGGAAGGAGCACAAGTACCTGATGTAAAATGGTTCCACACCAAAAAAAGAAAAAAACTAAATCAACCCAAAAAATGCACACACCTTAGAGCTCCACTGCCTAAACAGACTGCACTACAATAAGTATTCAGACCTGAAAATAACATCACCACAAACATTCCTCTTATTTGTAAGAGACGTGAGCCTAGGGACATGAAAGGGCTCTTAATAGGCAGAATTAAAACTAACACCTCTATCTCAGGAAAAAAAAAATAACCCAAAGGAATACAGAAACAGTAAATTATAAATATTCTCATTAGCACAGAGACAGACCTTTGTTTAAAAAGCTGTTCGAGAAGCTCCTTGTTGAACTGTTGCAGGGAACAAAGTCAATGTAAGCAGTAGCTTCTCTTCAGGACAAACGGGCAAACCCCTCTGCAGCCAGTCACATGCTGGCATCATGAAACACCAAGTTGTCTGAGGTGGCAAGACTCTAGAACCATATACACTCTAAACACCGATGAGAATCAAGAGCCGATGCTGCATCAGCATGGACTACAAACACACACCCATTCAGATTTGCCCTTGAACTCCCTCTCATGGGACTAGATCCACTTTGAAATACTGAAACAAAGAAGAACAGATACCCCGTGTTACCAGGGCAGATAGAAGAAAATGGCTTTAGCCCAGAACACACTCCTCCTTTTTCCTAATTGAGCATGAGCAAAAGTTATGGCTGATACTCCTAAGAGGAAGTGACGACCTCACTGAGCTTTCACTACAGACAAAAATATACACTTTTGTTATATATAGGTTCATGCACACACAGTATACTACTAGCATGCACTTACTGTTAAAGATTCTCTTACCCACACGTCTGGATTATGCATTATGGCTGTATTCTTAAGCGTACTGTCAGATGCAGAGACATAGGTTAATCTGCTTATGCTAGGACTTGAGTAAACTGAGTGAGGAAGCGCGCTGTCACTGCGGGACTTCTGGCAATTCGATGCACAAGCAAAGTCCGTCTCAGACCTGAAAAACAGATTGCGAGTATATCAATATGGGGATATATTCCATTGCTGATCAAAAAAAGAATGTTACTACATATTAGCTCTGTTATTAATTGTTAAATGTTAGCAATTAACCTTTACAAATTCTGGCCTTGAAGTACATATGAATAATTTGCTTTATGCATTTATATCCAATGAAAAGCATGAGTTCCAAAACCGACCTCAGATACAAAAGTCACAGAATTAACAGAATTATTACCTATTAACAGAAATGCAAATCAACACATCATCTAATTAAATAGCAGAAAACCAAAATGATTTTTTTCAATATTTTAGGCATCACACATCCATATTTCCTATTCACTAATAGGATTCTCAGTTTCACGCACCTGAAAACATGGGATCACTTTGTCCAAAAGTCTAACACGAGAATATTTTAATTAAATCACTGATAGTTTTAGCCAGAAATTTTATCTGTATTCCCCACTTGCAGAAAGACGTCTGTAATATATCCCTGCTTATTTCTGAGAAATACCAGACGCCTTGAAATTCTAATATCATCTCCAATATACTAACTGTAATTAAGCATCAAATAGTGAATTTAAAGGTCACAAATCAGTATTTCTTCCTCTGGTATATATAGCCACTGGCTACTGACCAAACAAGTCAAACATGTTAAAGACTACATGATCAACTAGTTCAAGTTAAAAGAAAACTATCATAGGGGCAATCTTATCTCTATATTTATAATTTATATTCATATGGCAATATAATGTATAATTATATTGATCTATACAATAATTGATATATAATAATTACTATATAGAGCAAGAACATTAAAGGTTCACAAAGTTCATTTCAAAATGTTGCCCTCTTAGTTGCTAGGAAATCCTTAAACAGAGATATAAGTTGCAGTTTTTTTTAAAAAAAATAAATAAAGCATTTAAGTGTACGTTTAAAAATGACTCAGTTTCCTACTCTACCCCACTGTAGCAAAACGAAGCAACAAAACATCATCAGTACTCATACGTCAAGCTTTTTATCATACACAAGCCCACCATAACCACTAGCCAAATAGCTTTTATTTGTATTAGATGAATCAGTAGAAGTTAAAATATATAGGGCTAGCCCAAGGCTAAAGCACTAGCCCTAGCACCATTAAAAATATATATATCTGAATAATTAACAACCTCATCATTTTGCATTCTTCCCTTAAGTTACAAATTGGACAATTCCAGGCTGAAATAACCATATTCCCACCGAGCATCTCAGTGTCATCATGCCAGTAAGAGAAATAAATTCAGCAATTGCTTAAGACCTGCTTCCTACATGTACAATAAAAGCAAGCAGGAAGCTTAGTCTACAAATGAAGTCTTGGCCCAATAAGTATCTTCTATAAACTGAGGTCAAGAACATCAGTTCAACTGAAACTTAAATCACTCAAAAACTACCACAGTGCATTAATAACTCTTATAAACCACACCAAAAAATTTACCCTGAAAATGTTGTTCCAGAAGTATCACTAGGTGATGAGTGAATTAGTGGTGAAGTTGAAGGTCTGAAGCTGCACTGCTCATCCTCTACAGATTGAAAGTCACATTCGGGAAGAACGGGTTTATGCTCTGCTAAATAAACAGAATTCATAACAATATTTAGCACAGTCAACAAGTTTTGTTTTCATGAAGAGCCTTTTCTACACCTGGATACTTCTATATAGGTTTACTTACCACCACCATTCTGTGAAGTCACAGAGAGCTTCTCAAAAGTTACATGCTTCACATTCCCACTGCAAGCACTACCAGCATCTTTGTTTCTCTTTTGTGTTTTTCCCTCTTGCTTCTTTTCATCACTGCTCAATCTCTGCACAGGTCTTGCTGCCGTAGGACTAACGTGCATGCTAGATTGCTTTGTAGTGTTGAAGTTGCTACCTGACACAGTGTTTCCTGACGTTCTTTTCACCAAACCATTACAGGTCTCAGGAACAGCACCTGCTGCCTCATCTCCTGTTTCTGCAGTCTCCTTAGAACAGGCAGTAGCAAGAAGGCTGCTATGGCAGGCAAGCTGACCCCTGCACACCACTTCCGTTTCTGTTGCTGAAGCAGTTCCACAAACTTTTGCTCCACTTGCAGTAGATTGGTTTGGGGTACCAAGCACATCTGATACAAGATGAGCTCTCGCTGACTGTGAGGGTTTACCATTTATTAAATCAGATAATTTTTCTGAACATTTAGCATTATTTGCAGTTCTGTCTTCATCCATCGGAACGTTAGATAGACAAGAGATATTCTGAATGCCAGCTTCTTCACGAAAATAATTCACAAACCGCTTCTCTATTTCCTGCTGCTTGTTATGATTATTTAACAAATCTTCTGCAAGAGTATGCTTATTTTTATCCACTAAAAAGCTATCATAAATAAGGTTCTGGACAGATGCTTCATGTTTCACAATACTCTCATAGTCACTTTCATGTTCCGTCTCATCTGTTTTTTTGAGATATTTTTCCATATCAAATGCACTATTTTCCACACTGCTCGATGAAGCTCGATTAGCAGCTAGTTCCACATCGTTTACAACTCCAGGAAGGAAGCATTTCTTCTTACTTTTATTTGAGAGTTCCATCATCATAGCAGCTAGCTGGGCAGGCTCCGTGCTGGCAGAAGCATTGGCAATAGCAGAGGCAATTGTACTAATGCTCAGGACAGAGTCCGAATGCTCAGGGGAACTCTCTTCAAGCTTGCCTTTATAAAATCCATCCTACAACAAACCAAAATCAGTTAAGCATCAAATGAAGATGTTTCTTGTTTGGGGTTTTGTTTGGGAAGAGTCTTTTTTAATTATTATTTTGTACTTCAATACATTCTTTTCATAATAATGCAGTTTACCACATTGTTACTGCATTTTTAATCTACTGTTAAGAACACTGTAAAAGACATAATTTCGCACTCTACTGACTTTACAAAAATCTCACAAAAAAAAAAAAAAAGAAAAAAAAAAGTATTTCCAGAACTAAAGATTGCCTGCTAGGATACTCCAGCTCACATATTCCCCAAATCTGGAAGTCTCCTATGGTTAAAAACCTCTTAATGTCTCTTGTAATTCAGTTGATTCAATTGGAAGAACTGGGATTAAGTTCCTATGAGAAACACATACACAGCAGAGGAGAAACTGCAGTAACTAAATACACATTATCATCTCACCTAACATTTTTCTTGCCTCTCTACAAATGGAAGACGGAGCTATTTATTTTTCTCTTAGATTAATGAAAGCCAAGTGACCTAGACAACAGGGCAGAGCGCACGTGCAGCAAGTTTGCTGATGATACAAGGTTGGGGCGAGTGGTTGGCCCACCAGACTGGGAGCTGTGCTGCCGTTTGGGGAGATCTCAACCAACTGGAGAGATAGGCAGAGGAACCTCCTCAAGTTCAGCAAACTACATATGAAGGCAGGGCAGGTATGAGTCAAGAACTCTCAAACTAAAAATACTCGTTTTCCAAATTTAAGCCATGAACTTATTTTAATCCTCTATCAAATCAACAACCTAATTCAAGCGCTAAATAAAAGTTCTTTCAGTCAAAAACAAAACAAAAACATCCCAGGATAAAGTCATAGCTTTCGTTATGGAACGTAGGCTCCAGATCACAGAATATCAACAGTCTAAGCATCTATGAATGATAATAATAGTAATGAGTTATCAGGTCAAGTAGCTCCCTAAACAGAGAGGAGACAGTAATATCTGATTTTCCACAGGATCATGGCATTCTAATAAAACTATCTCCCCAAAAAATCATGTCCTTATTAAGATTAATACAGTAAGAGGTAGTAAGTTAATGACACAGTCCAAATTCACCATTTTCCAATGAAAACACCTAGTAACACTAACAATCATTTAAATTTTTGTTCAAGTTCATATTTACAATTAGCAGATAAGACACAGAAATACCTTTGCTTTACTTTTGGTAGCAGTTTCTATACTAAAGTTTTTATGTATTCCAGATGCAGCCTCCCTTCCATGACATCCATTTTCACAATCAACAGAATTTGTTTGCTCTTTTATATGTGCTCCCAAATCATCTAAGCAAAAAGAAAAAGATGGGGAATTAATTTCCAGTAAGTAAATTGTCTACATGCCTGCATGCATGCTCCTCAAGTTTGGGGGCAAGGGAGAGAGACGTGGGGTAGAGGGAGACTCTTTTAAAGTCAAAATACCAAATCTTGCAGTTTTAAGTCTAATATTTTCAACGGGTTCCTGTTCTTCATGTTCACACTCCTCAAATTTCACTTTCAGGTAAGTTTATCATGTTAGCATAGACTAAATAAACCTTCCCATTACATCATGTTTGAAAGAAACATGAACACAGATCTGATCCCAGGAGAAAGCCATAAAAGCTCAATTTGAATAAAATCATTTTCTGGGGACGGGTTTTGACAGAGATGTCAATGAGCTAGCAACTCTGAAGATTTACCATTAAGTTGGCCTGGCTTTTTTTTTTTTTTTTTTAAAAAAAAAAAAAAAAAAAAAAAAAAAAACAGGCCTCTGCTCCACTTCAGCAGATATTCTGAGTTTGGGTATACTTAGCTTCAAGAAACACCCTTCCCAGGTTGCTTACTTGCCAACTCCTTTCCCATCTATTGTCTCTAAAGGTACTGCATATTGATAGTGCTGATAAAGATCTATTAGCAGCAGCACTATTGAAGGAAAATAAATAACTAAATCAGATGACAGGTATTAGCACTTCTATCAAAAAGTGACCTAAATGCTTATTTTCTCCAGCATTTTGCAGATCAAGAGAACTTCACAACATTTTAGGGTACTTGGCTACTGTTCAAAGTAGCAACTGTAGCCATCACTTAACTGAACACAGATCATAAATTCAAGAAACTCCTAGAAATTTTCTGCCAGGAGTCTAGACTATTGTCTAAATTTAAGTATACTAACACTAATTATTTTCCTTACTATTTCAGATGATTTCTACTATTTCTAGATATGAGTAACCTTTTCTGCAAGGTATTTTCATGGTATTTCCAACAGGAAAACTCTAAACAGCTTGTAAGTATTACAATACATTCTGTAATCTACTGGTACCTGGAAACGCTGACGCCTTTTTTTCCAAAAAGAGGGAGGGGGGAGGGGGGAAAAATTCAGGGGAATTAACTCCAGAAAATGGAGATGCTGAACAAAAGTTAAAGAGTGTACAAGATTACTCTTAATGTGGTCTTCACTAGTTACAGCGTTAGTTAAGAGCTACTTGCATGTAACCACTAATCTAGGAGGTTTCTTCTGTTTTGTTATTACCTGGAAACACTTCAAATAATTGTGAACTCTCTTGGTCAGCATAATCTCCTGACGCATCAGACTGTCTTAACAGAGCAACAGGTTCCCTTTTCTTTGGGGATGTAATGTGATAACCAAAAGATGGCTATTAAAAGAAAAGACAAAGAAAAAAAAAAAAGTTACCCCAGAATACAGAATTAACAAATAGAGGGCTTAAACAAATTTAGCCATAGCACCTCCCTGATTGATATTTTGATCTCACATGTCTGGGAAATAATTTAAGCCTCCCAGCCTGGCAAATGCCTAATCCAAATACATACGCTTCACATAAACCATGTATATACACCAGTTAGGCAGACAAAATAAGGTACACGTGCTTTCATCAACACTATCTGGAAGCATGCTCTGCACTCAGGCTTTGGATGTACCAAGGTACTGACTACCCATGCTCTAAAGCAAAACTAAGGCACACCCTAAGGAACACTCATACTTGACTTTTGCTCCCCTTGATGACACATTCCCAGAACAAAATGTGAAGATCACCATTCACTGATGCCAGTGATACATGCCAGTCACTTAACATCAAAAATTCCAACCTGGAAACAAGAAAAATATCAATCCAGATCTGTTATTTACATACAGAATTCCCCTAGCAGGTAAACTTAGAAAAGCAGATCTCAAAAGAAAGAAAGAATATAAAAACAGAAGTATTGCTAGTGTTTTTCTTCTTTCTTTGCTTCTTAATATTAAGATACATACCCGTTTCACATCACTGCCTCCACCAAGACAACCAAGAGCTTCAGATCTCTGACCAAAGAACTCTCCCAGAGATAGGCGTAAATAACTAGCATCTTTACTAAGATCCGATGCTCTCAGGGGAATGCAGCTGTTGGCAGATCTCCACGAAGAATCTGCTAGTTCAGATGCATTTAGAAAGTCTACCTTCCCTGCCTGCAGATAAAGAGATTTCAGAAGTTGTTACTTGCAAAGAAATTTGGGATTTACTCTGTTGACATTGAGATAGTTACTTACCTGTACAAGTCTGTGTGCTTTCTCAAATTCTTCCTGGTCTTGTGCAATCATAGCTGCTGCTTTGGCTTCATATCATAGAGGACAGTTATTAAAATAAAGCATAAGTAATTAAGTGCCATCATTACTACTTTGCATCACTAAGTTGCACTTTGAAGGAAAAACAACACGATACTTTTTACCAAGATCAGCCTTAGACAGCATAAGGAAAATGAACAACTTTGTAAGTAGACAGATGTTCAAAGAGCCTGCAATTTGACAGAAGACAGAATCCAATAAGGCCTCAATAAATCCCCACATACTGCAATACCATTAGGTTAAGATTAAACATCAAGGCATTTAAGAGATTCACGTAATCATCAGCTAGAGAATTCAGCAGACACTTTCATATTCTAGACAGTGCCACAACAGTTTATCATTTACAACCATTTCTTGTATTGTGGCCACCATGCAATGCAGAATGACTATTATTCTGCATTCTATATTATTTATTCTTCTTGAATCAAAGGATAACAATAATTAAAATCCAAATAAAGAACACAAGCATACTTATACAATAGGTACAAGTGACACTTTGGTATCCCTTCCAAACAAAGCAAGAACTCTTCACAGGAAGAGTGCTAAACACAGAAGGAAAACTCTTCCATCAACTCTGGCGATAATAAGTCTTACAGTAATGATCAACAATAGCTGTCAAACAATCTGTAATACTTAAAGACTGCAATTTTTCCAACACCTAACATTGATTTGTGAAAAAAAGAGCAAAAAAGGAAGAAAGTTCACCTAACACTGTACTACAGATAATATCTAGCGAAGAAGGAAAAGTTACATACATCCAGTTACGAACTCCTCATTTATTTTATCTTCTTCAGATAGATTTAAATCTTGCTCTTCATCAAATGAGGTATAATATGCAAGGTCAGTCACCCACTTGCCCTCCTCATTTTGATAAACAATGCTGTGTGGTGTATCACCTGAAAAACCCATCGAATGCCGTACTGTTGATTAAGATCAAGTGAATATAGCAAAATCTCTTAAACTGGGGTATGTAGGAATTGACTCGCCCAATATTATCCACAAAAAAAGGTAGCTCAGGTTACTGCAGTCACAAGCTAAAAATAAATTTAACTTTCAAACAAGCAACAGATTAGTGCAATACACTAGGTATTAGCTTTTCTCTTTTTTCTTCTAATTAACAAAAGCAAGTCAATTTATTCAAACTACTTTTTCCTTATTTACAAAGAAGCGTAGTATGTTTTGATAACTTGTCAAATCAAGATCAAAAAAGGCAAAGCTTAACAATTTTTTTTTCCCTTTTTTCATGCAACAGAGTCTGGTCTCAGCCGTATAGCTGGACTATTTCCACAGCATCCTACCTCTGTCTTTTGCGGGCGGGCACAGATCACAGCTGGCTGCAGTGGGAGACAGGTAAGTGTCTGCAAGTCCAACGTCACACTCAGGGGAACCTGCATCCGCTCCAGCCGCGCTTGCGCTCAGCGGAATCTCGGGACTTGTGCAGTAACCCAGAACTCCTTCTGCCGGGCACAGCACTTCTGCATCAGAAGGAACCCGGCCCTCAGATGATTTTATTTCTTGCGCTGGGAGAGTGCCCAGATCATCCGCTTTATGGCTGTCCATGCACTGAAGATAGAGTGAATCTAACCTCAACTCAGCAGCACTGCAAGCATCCAGCACATCTCCACCAGGCACGGAATTCTTAAGAAACGAGTAAGAACGATCAAAAACAGTGTCAGAAGTTTTGTGTTCGTTAAGTGTTTATGTTAATAATTACAGGTACAAAACAGTGAAATAGCTATATTTGAAAACTTCAACTAAAAACCGAGTGGTATTATGTGTACATATATACATATATGTATATGTATATATATGTATATATATATATATGTGTGTGTGTATATATATATATATATTTTAGGCTGTTAGTTCAACCAGTAACAAGTTTTCAAATGAACTGTCATCTTTTAACATATTCTTACTCCGGATATGATAAATAGGAACTTAAATGATAATTCCATACCAGTTGCTGGACTGTTCTTGGCAGCATTTCTCTTTCTACAGAACATCCAGCTATCTCTGTTTTTTGGGAGTCTTCATCAAGAGCATTGCCAGCGCCTCCTCCTGCCACAGTCTGAAAGTTCTCCTAAAAGAATAAGATTTAAATTCCACTACAACAGATGCATTTAATAAAGGAATTAGTCAGACTCCATTATTTTTACGATGTTAAAACCTTCTCCAGTAACAAGTTTATCAAAATTAATTTGCTCTTTTGCCACTATCAGCGGCAACTATGTCTGTCAGCCCCACAGATGAGGGCAATTATTTCTGGCTATGCTAATCTGTGCATAGTGTGTTGCCCCCACTAAGGACAGTCACAAGATAGAGGAATCTCTTCTCCTTCTTCCTGTCCCATTCCCTTTAACAAGGGCATCAGTTTCCATACCATAGCACTCCTCAGCCCCTATAACCTCCTGGAATACACTGCCAGGCAAGGAGCCAAGCTCCACTTTGGAACCTGTTTTACTGACCTCACTGTGCATTTACAAGAGTGGGGAAGCAAGAACATCTCCTCCTATGATCCCTTCTCATCATTCAGTCCTAAGTAACCCTGTACCACGCTCCGTCCTCCTCACTCTTCTCCATAGCATGGAGACCTCCATAGGTCTCCAGCAGTCACCTATTGCTTTCTTTACATTCAGACCAAATGACTGATCCCACCCAAGAAGCTAATGCTCAGAAGACTCATGCAGGAGCCACATGGTAACACAGCACTCCCCAACGCTTGGGAACACCAAGGCCAGCTGGAGATCTCTGATTTCGTCAGGCAATACCTTGACAAAATTGTAGTATTTGCTACTTGCTACAGGCAGTTTTAAGCAATAATCAATTTCATGACACTATTTTCACAAGCTACAGTTGGTCTACAAGTTTAAATCCATAACGTTTTTCCATTTTGACCAAGTATGTAAATGCCGGAGTCTCACCTAAGAATGCAGAAACCAGGTATATGGAAGGGCCTTTAATCCCAGACAGTCTATATGCAGTAGAGGAAAATGCTGCTCAGTGACTAGTGAGTCACTAGTCTCCAGTCACAAAGGCAGCCAGATGCTGCTCTAGGATTACCCTTCACATGCACAACTGCCATCCAAAGAGACTCATTTATTCCTCTGCAAAAACAAGTCCCCACGATTCTATACAATTAACAAAACCTTGCAGACTTCTACTCAAGATGATAAAGCAGTCATCAAAATACTTTTATGAAACTAACTATGGTTAAAACAAAACAAAAAAAAATACATCCACAAATGTTAGCGTTATCCTAGTATTTCACAGAAATGAAAAAACAGAACAACAGAATCCTTTGTCAGAAGCGAGTACAAACTGTTTTCAACAAGTTTAATTGCTGTCTTGGAAAAAAGAGCCATTCTTCCCTTTCAACATTGCTGGAGCTGAAACTGCAATTCTAAACAACAGCAAACAGAGCAGTTTTCTCACAGAAAGCATGATTCAAACTAAGCAATTATCACCAGAGACAATATGCCCAACTCATGGAAATTATGAGCAAGTTATCAGCAAGACCAAAAGATGGAATTAGTTTCCCATCAGCTGACTAGCTTGTTTAGTGGGGAAAAAAAAAAAGGCGTCAAAATAGTAGAGGTATGTGCTTAGCCACAAAATATATATGTACCTTTTCTCTTTTCAGGGGACCTGAAAGGATTGCAGTGCTTCTCTACAACATCTCACCCACTTTCACAGTGAGAATAACCACTGGAGACTTGAGAGAGGGAGCAATATTAGAAGGAAGATCCCACTTAAACTCTTAACTACAGCAAGTGCTGATCTATACCCTCCTTCAGTATTGCTCTGAAAGAGCAGGCTAACAATTCAGTATTACCCATCAATATTCTAACATACACTCAATTAACATGCTGCTCAGGACATAAATCCTTTTGTTTATTGTAGTCTATCCCACAGCTTAGAGGTGGATTTTTTTTTAATCTAAAAGCATACTTTTTTGTAATATGAACTATGCAACGCAGTCTTAAAACACTCAGCACAAAGTCCATCTTCAGGAATTACTCCTGACACTACATTAGTTTTTACAAGTTTTCCTCTAAGAAACAGCCTACATAATCCCAAAGATGAGACAAAATCTTAATGGTTTAGGTGCTTGGTTTTATTTTTTTTTCCCTCACTGAAGGATAAAGCAAGAGAACTGACCTACACAGAATCCTTCACCACAGCTGCTTAGCAGTAGAAAGGAGAAGGCTATAAAAGGCTACCTACAGGAGAAAGGGGAGTGTGAGGAGCAAGGGTAGTGGGGATTGCAAACTCACAGACCTGAATAAAGCTGGCAATATAACGCAACACTCCTCAGCTTGGCTGGAAACCTCCCAGACTAAAGCCTCTTGGGACAAGCAGCTACTTAACCAACTCCCCCACTTCTTGTTCCATAAACATTTTTTGAATGTCTGTGACAAACAGACATAGCTGCTAGGTCTGCACTACAAGGAAGATAATGGAGAGGAAAAAAATGGGTTTTTTTGGTTGGTTGGTTGTTTTTTTTTGTTTGTTTGTTTTTTTTCCCCTCGCCTCCCTTCTCCTCCTCCCCATCCCCAGGGAAAACCTGACAAAGGAAGTCAAAATCCTAATTGAACTGCTTTGAATCTATTTTCAAGCATTATCTGCTATTTATAAAAAAAAATCCTTTGCTGTTGCTGTAGAGGATTTGTGCTCCAACAGAGCATGTCAAAAAAGGAAGCCATCGCCCTAGCCAAGGATGCTCAATACACCTGCATGCTGAAGAGCCATTCGGCACACAGAGCTTCGGACTTCACTTGACACCTACTTGAATTAAGTCATTTTCAGAAAGCTTCAGTGCTGTACAGCATTTGGTCAGTTCCTGCATGCTGGTGTCTCCTCTTGCCATTTCTGGTGGTACCAGCTGCTCAAAATAGGCTTCCAGCTGGTTGTCAAAGAACTCTTCATCATCAATATCATCATCTATTGAAAGAAAAAAAAAAAAATCATTCTCCACCCATAATTTATAATGTCCCTGTCACAGCAATTCCACTGTTTTTAATGTATTGATTCTCATAACACGCTCACATAGTCAGAGCAGAATGATTTTATTTTCCCTCCGAATAACTGGGCACGGAAACATGTACTAGTGGTATGCAGCAAGATAAGATGGCAGCATCTTAACTGCTGCCAGCATCCATGTTCCACCACATTCCAGCCAGCAAATCATCTACATACAGTAAAATATAGTACCATCTCTGAAACAATACTGAAAGTGATTTTAGCACAGTTTTGTTTCAATGACACAAAAATCTTATATGTTATTATGAAGGTCAGCACTATTGCCATTTACTAAGTGAAAAATTTACCAATACTTCATGTACTTATTTCTTTTTTATTCAGGGAAGGAGTTTGGGTTTTGGGTTGTTTTAAAACAAAACATCAGTCAGCTTTTTAGGACATGCTTAAAAGCATTCTTATAACCACTGTAAAACACATTTCAAGATGAAACTAACTTTTTTTAAAAAAAAACTCTTTCAATTTTAAAAAACAGGGCTGCTTGTATTCTTTTTTATATGAGAAGCAGTACACTCAGGCCCTGTATTTATAAGTTCACAGTCAGATTGTTTTCCACACACTTTAAGAACCATTTATTCCCAGTTGCTGGCAACAGAAGAGTTGATTCTTCAACAATTCTGACTTTGGACTGTGTATGTCAATTCTTCTACCAATAAAATATCATTCACTATTTTCTCAGTATTTCCTTCTGTCAGAGAAGTCAAGAATGTACAGCAAGTATATGTAAGTAACCATTATTTTTTCATTTCTACTTTTCTCTTGTGTTCTGCAAAACTAGAGGCTGATTTACAGAAATAAGAGGTTCAGTCTTTCAGTTAAATGAGATTTAAGTCAATTAGAAACTACAGATGGCCAGCAACTCTGACATTACAGCAAAGTGATCTGGACCTGCTATATTTGACAGTCAGTAGATGAAAAACACAAATTAACGCTCCATTTTCATGTATGATACTGGAGGAGAGAGGGATTGCAGTAACCTCTCTTCACTCTGTAAGTATTAGTCTTTTTAAAACAAACACCCACAGAGTGCTTTTAAAAGTGCTAGAAGGAAGAATTAGTTAATTACCTGAACAGTACTAACTAACTGCACAGCCTTCTGGTGTATCAGCCACTCCTTTCTGTTTCATATCATCAGCAAAGTCACCGAGGGAGCACTCTATCCCCTCCCTATCCCAGGTCACAGATGAGTTAAATTCAACAAAATTGGATCCAGTATCGATCCTAGCTAGACTGTGAATCAACTGATCACAATGCAGCTTTGAGTTCAGCTCAATGGCTGTCCATCTCTCCCGTACTTCATGGGCTCGCCTGGAAGGTCGTCATGGGAGAGGGTCGAAAGCCCCGCTGGCACAAGGCAGACAACAAGCACCGCTCTCCCCTCCTCTATCAGCCAGTCTTTCCATCGTAGAAGGCTATCAGGTTGGCTAAGCATGATTTCCACCTGATGGATCCTTGCAGATCACTCCTGATCACTGTGGCCTTCATATGCTTGAAAAACTACACCCAGGGTTAGCTGCCCCATCACCTTTCCTGGACTGAGGTGAAACTGAAGGTCCTCTAGTTCCCTGGGTCTTACTCGTCCTGTGTGTAGACCGGAGCAACCCTGGCTTTCTTCCTGTTCTCAGGAACCTCTTTCAAAGATTATTGAGCATGACCTTGCAGTGACATCAGCCGTTTTCCAGAGCACTCATGAGTGTATCTCATCAGAGCCCATACACTTGCATATGTCAGGTTTGCTTAAGTGATTATTAACATGATCCTCCTCCACCAATAGGAAGTCTTTCTTTTTCCAGACTCTCTCTCTGGTCCCCAGGGCCTGGGATTCCTGAGGACTGATACCAGTAAAGACTGAGGTGACAAAGTCTCGCTGCCTTTCCAATACCCCTTGTCACCACAGAACCAGCCACATTCAGTAGCAGGCTGACATTTCTCCTAGTCCTCCTTTTGTTACTGATGTACTTACAGAAACCCTTCTTCTTGTCCTTGACATCCCTTACCAGACGAAACTCCTGATTGATCTTGGCCTTCTTAGCCCTGTCCTTGAACACTGAAACATCATCCCTACATTTTTCCCAAGATTGCCTGCCCCTGCTTCTACCTTTTGTAGACTTTCTTCTCACATTTAAGTTTTGCCACAAAACACTTGTTCTTGCACACAGGCACATGCACAGGCACTTGTTCATGCTCCTGTTCCCTTTCAACTTCTTTCTCATTGTGATGGACTACTCTTGAGTTTGGAGGAGGTGGTCCTTGCATATCAACCAGCTTTCTTGGATCCTCTTCTTTCTAGGACACCAGTGGGACTCTTCCAATACTCTTCTCGTACAGGCTTTTGATTAAGTTTAATTCTATAAAAATACTTAATTAAAACAATACTCTTCTTCTCAAATAGGCAGTAAAACTATTAGAATTCTAGACTCAAATACCCATAGGCAGCTACGAACTTAGAAATATACTTACCAGTAGAGTCTCCTCCTAAGCTCGCAATAGATGAGAGTTTCTCATTCTCTAAAAAACTTGAAAGGCTAGCGCTGAGATGCTCACTTAAAATTTCACCTTCTATCAGTTTTTCACAAGGTTCAAATGTACCAATCTGTAGAAAACATTCATATGTTTCAACTTATTGTATAAGTCCTTTTTTTTTTAATAAATAGTTGATGAGGTTTAAAAAAAAAAAAAACACACACATTCTGAAATTCTCCTAGCAACATTATTCTAGAGAAATTGGACAGTTTTCAATCTAGCTTCTGAAATGGATACATGCAGGAAGAACAGAGATTAAAGAAGAGCTAGAAGAAAATGGAATTGAATGACATTGTTGTCATTGAAACTTGTTAGGATTTCAGAACTAAAACACTGAACTGTTCCATTAAGAATTTACACTTGAATACATGAACCTCTCCATTTATTAAGCTGCAATCCCATCTTAAGGTACAAACTAGAAAAACCATCAATAGAATTTCATAGTTTTGTAGAAACTGTACATCCAAATTAACCAATTGTTATATTTTCTTCAAATAATATATTGAATTGCTTCTGAAGTAGCATTTTAACTTCATTTACCTAACTGTAATTATTATTTTTTAATATACAAACATGTTTAAAAACAGCATGATGCAGTGTCTGTTTTGGTTTTAGTTTTGGGTTCTTTTGTAATAAATATATCATATTTAACAGGTATCAGAAGCAGAAGTTCAGAAAGGAGCAAATATTTTCTAGGAACTTAAATTAGGGTGTTCAAATGGCAGCCCGTCAGCATTCAAGCGCTACTTATCCATCGCATTCCTCAAATGAAGAATTTTGAACAATATTTAAGCCTATTTAGTAAATACCAGCTGACACTTTAATGAGCACACACACAGACTGCTTCTGGCTGCATTCCATAAAGTACATCTCTGGTGCCCGAGTGCCTTTTATCTCTATGCCAATCATGGCCACCTTGTCTAGCAAGGTGGATGCCTGCAGCTGAAGCACAGTCCTACCTGTCCATAGGTGATGGAGTCACTTGCTAGTTATAGACACACGCACACCACAAATCAAGAAGCAGCAGGAAGGTTGGATTACTATATGTGGTACAGTTCTCAAATTGAGGCTACTGAATGAGTCTTCCCTAATCTGCTATTCTTCAAAGCAATTCACAAGCACAGGGGCAAGTAAAAACAGGTTGTTATTTTCCATTTCCAAAAATACTTAGTAAGGTTCCTCAGCAAAGGATCTTCCTCAAAGCAAACTACTACCAAAACAGGCAGTAAGGCCCTTATACAGATAGTGAATGAAACAGCAGCAAATGAGAGGTAGTAATCAACAACTTTCACAACAGGAAAAGGTCAGGAGGAGTCAGGCTCCTGTGGTGATAACCACATTAAGTGACTGGAAAAAGGAGGTAGAGAGAGAGAGGCAAAACACACTCAACATGCTAACACTGCTACCAACTTGACTCTTAATTGTGCTCTGTCAGGTATTCATTAAGTTTCCTCCCTCCTTCTCTCAGGAGTTATTTCTAATATAAGACTATTATGAAAATCTTTCCTGTATTTAGAAGAGTTTTACCTTGCTATCCTTACTGCCTGGAAGAAAACATATTCCAGTTGACAAATCTGGAACAAAAGAATGTAGTGTAATCAATATTTTATTATGTTACGCTATTAAATGATAGTTATCCAATAAAAGAAAAGCAGACAGACTTCAAGAATACTTGGAGGTTATTAAAAAGGCAAGAATTTCTCAGAACTAGTGCTGTTAAAACCAAATCGAAACACCCACAGATTTGACTATCACTGCTTTAACTTTTACAAGGCAATGAAAAGAAAGCAAAGAACACCAGATTGCTGCAGCTGCACACGTAGTAATAAGAATAAACGTTGCTCCTATTTAGTCAACAGTTCTTCTGATGAAAGATAATCTTGTAGACTGAAAGAGAAGGGGTTGAATACCTCTCTTAGACTATGCACAAAGCACTGAAAGGATCAAGAGCGGACATTAAAGCATAAGAAGCAAATTACACTGAGAATAAGCACATGAATTTCAAAATTTAGTACCTTCTAATCGTTCAAGGGGTAGTAACTCAACCAAGGTATCATGGCTGTTACTTGAATGCTCCATGACATTCCTCTCGTCCTCTCCGCACACTGAGCGGGACTCTTTCAGACTAGCACAAGTCAGCTGAGGTTCTTTGATCCGTGTAACAATTTCCCTAGAAAGAAATTTATTTCAATGAAAAATTGCTCAGTAAGATATAAAATCAACATTGGTACATAACATCTTTCAATATGAAAAATAAAGATGTATTCTCTAATTTTAATGCCTTTGTGGCATTCAGCAGACCTTTGAAGGTCTGCTGAAACCGATCAACACAGATTCTCCAGAATCATCATGTGATAGTTTCCTCTTATATAATAAAGTATCAAGATTGAAAAGGCTGCAGTTTTACCACCTGGAGTGTTCCACAGAAACACTGGCTCAAGGTAACTCTGATAACCCTATCATTCATGGGGGCTGTGAGTATGAGGGCTTTATACTGGATGTGTTTCATGATTCAGTTGAGAAATAAACTACACAAGATGATCATCAGCCCAAAACTCCACCATGACTTTCACAGCATTAAATCAGAACCTTAAGTCCTGTTCTCAAGGATTATTTAAATTGTACAGTTGTGTTAAATATCAATTGGTATAATCCTGCAGGAAAAGAAATCTCACTTCTGGGTTTGTAAGACTTCCATACAGCCAGATTAACTATGTAAGATGTTGAAATTTCCACACAGAGTAGTGTTCCACGCTGACCTTTAATATTTTTAATGTTCATATAGTATTCTTTATAGAGACAAAAAACTTAAAATGACCTTATTCCCTTTTTTTTTTCTTCATATTTTTGCTTGACTACAGGCAAAAAGTTTTTTTTTTTCATATTTTTCCTTGACTACAGGCAAAAAGCTGACTCAATCTTGAATTCTTTGAGACATTTTGCTCATAGCGCATTTTTATCAGTTAAGATAAATCATATTGCTGCTTCTATCACAATAGGAACAGACTTGACCTTGTTTAGAATAATCTGTGTGACAGCTTCCAACATTTACTACACCCCAATAATGCTGTAAGTTGCTTAATTTGGTTCCTACATAACAACAAACTAGTTATTTCCTAAGAAAGAGCAAACAGTGAGATTACAAGGAAGTTAAACTTAGTGAAAACGTACGTTCCTTTCTGCATGGAAACAGCATGACACTTAATTGAAACAAGTTTTTAAAAGTTTAAATATATACAAACAAAACCATTATTTGCATGTATAACATGAATGAGAAACATCAGCTTAATCTAAAATTAATGTAAACTAAGTAAATATAAGATAGATTTATATAAGCCAGAATGCTTATATGGCATTATATATATTGCAAGACACAAAATCCAGAAGTTGGCTCTTACAGCTACTTTCTGAAGTATTTTAGAACAAGAATTAGTTTTAGCTTCTTTTTAGGAGGATGAGATAACATCACTTACATGTCATCCCGAAAGCTGAGGGCAAATCTCCCTTCCGGACCTGGATCAGACTGAATGCTGTGAGGAGATCCTGATGCCAGGGAACATCGACCTTCTTCCAAGTAAGATGCCTGCACATCGGAGAACCTACAAGGGCCGTGAGGAAACACATGTCACACAGCTGTGTAACACACATCTCTCCTGTTCTTCAAAGACTTGACAAAAATACTCTTGATAGATGCAGCTCTCCCATATATTCCATTATCTGAATATTTTTTAGACTTCTTTTTTTAAAAAAAAAAAAAAAAAAACACGCATCTGTATTTACAGGTACACATATCCACCCTTCTTCAAACCTCTGGAATTCCTTAAGTAAATAATTCATTTTCATTTTTAGTCATTATTGCAAGATTCTGTCCCATTTGGAATATACAATTCTGGAAAGGCACAGCATAAAAGTCTCATCTTACTTCTTACTAAATCACACAGCAAAGGAGTAAAAGTGACCACAAGTTTCCAATTGTTACTCTTTGTTCTACTGTCTGCTGAGCAAATTATATTATATTTTAGAATAATTTGCTATTTTCTATTATTTTTTGCTATTTTTTCTATTATTTAGAATAATTTGCTATTCTATTATATTTTAGAATATTTTAATCGATATCCATATAGCACTTGTTCTTACAATACATTTTCTAGAATGTGTCAGTTATAAGTCATCAAATGATCTCAATCTTTAGCAAAATAAAATCTTAAGAATTAAAAGGAACATTTCATCATTATCTTTTCAATTTATAGTGAAATACCCTTTAAAGGGGTAGCTGATTAAACGTGAAGTATGACAAGCACGAATTTAACCAAGAATTTTTACTGTTAATATAATCATCTCATGCTACTGATTACTGGGCAGCTTTATCATCTACCAAGTAAGTTGTCAAAAAAAAATAAAAAAGCTGCCCAAAGGTTAGACGCTTTAAAAGTCTATTGCCTCTTCTTACAGTTCAATGCTTTACTTTACGGAGCCGTTTTAACTGACAGCCTCACCTGTTGTCACAGCCCGCTTTACTCTTGGCCAGGGTGGAAGCTGCCACAGGCAGGCCGGGGTTTGAGGCGATGGTGACGTTCTCCAGAGCGAGGCTGGCGCCGCTGCTCAGGGAGGCGCCCAGGAGGCTGGGCAGGCTCTCATCGGCGATGTTCCTGAAGTCCTCCATCGCCCCGGCCGCCGGCGGCACCAGCCCTAGCGCAGTCCCATCTGAAAACGAGAGCGCGAGGGGGGAGTCTATCCTGCGCCCTAACCGCAGAGCTCCGGGCTGTCGAGGCAACCGCCCGCTTCACCTGCGCGGCGGTTCAAAGCTCTCCCCAGCCCCCCGCGGCCGCTCGGGCGCCGCGCGCACTTTCTAAAACGGGCAGCGGCCGAAGCGCGGCGCCGGCGCGGGCTCGGCCTATATTTAGCCCGCAAAGCTGCTTGCGCCGCA